TCAATAAATAATTCAATCTCGCTTGATGTCAACAAACGTATTTACTATACAAAACCATACTGGTGTCTTCTCTGTAGGAGCAAAAATGGCGGATGAGAGTACTCATCTCTATAGTGCTCTAGTAGCCTGCGACTCTGGCACCCCCTAGGGGTAAACAAATTTTAACTGCAATTATCTTTCATAGAGTTTCGCTTCTTGTTTCATCAAAATATACATGTATATATAATAAATATTAAAAAACTAGTTAACTTCGTAGAAATTGCAACTGCAATTATGGCTTCGTTACAGCTGATTCGGAATGGTATATTTATAAATTTACTCAATTATTTAACAATGAATATATATAGACATTAATATTTTATATTTTTCTTCCTTTTTGGGCATTTACGTAATTTGACTTAATAATGTTATTGTACAACTTTGAAAAAAACACTTATTCATTTATTATTATTATAAGAGAGAATTGTGTTTATCGATGTAAACTTTTAAAGCCACTCGATGATATTTATTAAATCTTCTCTTATTATTATTTGTTTGTCAATATTTTAAATTAAATTAAAATTAACCTCTCTTTTTGTTTATGTATATAAATATTTATTATTATTTTCAAGGATCTAGGCTCATAACTCTACCGAGTATTCAGAATGCTTATTCAATACGAAATAAATATTATTTTGTTAACAAACCAGAACAAGAAGTGAATCTTGACACGCAGGGTAGCTCATTATATTTTCTTGAAATTTTTCGTGGTCTTGGAGTTGCATTATCCCATTTCTTTCGAGAACCAGCAACGATAAATTATCCTTTTGAAAAAGGCCCCTTGAGCCCAAGGTTTAGAGGGGAACATGCACTGAGAAGGTATTTTATAACATAATAAGAAATTAAAGTAATACCAAGATCGGTCTTGACTTTGAGCATTCAAATATTATTTTAATAACAGATACCCATCTGGCGAAGAAAGATGTATCGCATGTAAACTTTGCGAAGCTATATGTCCTGCTCAAGCTATTACTATTGAAGCGGAAACAAGACAAGATGGATCTCGTCGTACCACGAGATACGATATTGATATGTCCAAGTGTATTTACTGTGGCTTTTGTCAAGAAGCTTGTCCAGTAGATGCAATCGTAGAGGTATATTATTCAGTTATATAATTTAATTCAAATAACAAATTCTTTTATATTTCTTTATTTTTAGGGACCAAACTTTGAGTTTTCTTCAGAAACTCATGAAGAAATGCTTTATAACAAGGAGAAATTATTAAATAACGGAGATAAATGGGAATCTGAGATAGCTAGCAATATACATGCGGATCATCTTTATCGTTAATGAGGTCCATATAGTTTCGTTAAATCACGCTAGAATATTATTTAATAATATTATAAAGTTTAGTATAAAATTAGCATTAGCACGGATAAATATTTATCTGAAATAATAAAAAATATATATAATATCTTTGTGCTATGGTGCTTATAAGTGTTTATAATAATGTTCTATTTTGCTCCAGAGAACATTTGATAACATTTTATTATTTAGGGTAATAAAAAGAAATTTTTCTATCGATCGGGGTAAAATAATTTTATTTAAGTAACTTATATTTTTCGGTTAGGTTAACGATGCAATGGAATGATAATAAAAATTGTTGCTTACATACTCAAATAGAATAATAAGAAATAAAAGTTAATAACATATACATTTCTTTACATGTCAATTTATATTTCGTACTTTATTGGCAACTTTTATTTATATAAAAATTATTTTCGTTATGTAAACAATAACTGATAAATTAAATATTTTTATCGAAACGTGTATTATGAAATCCAAGATGAAGTTAAAAGTATGTAACTGCTGACAACCCGTATTAACCTCTTGCGGTGAAATGACGTGTGTCATTGTGTGTAACATGTCCGAACGCTACCTGACCGCGCCGCGAAGAGATTTGCACTCAACTGTTCTGGGACGCGTAACCGTGAATTTCTTGCCACCGCAAGAAGTTAATCTCCAATTTTTACAAATCACATAATAACACGCTTTACAGGTATGTACTTTTTTAATTAATGTATATACTTAGTTTTTATTTAATTTAACGAATTGTGACATTTAAGAAAATAAAAACAGCATCTTTCAAGCTTGAATGCTATGTTCTTAATGTATTGGTATCTATAATATAAAAGCACATTTTGTACAGGCAAAATCAATAACTGATAGAAAAATTTGTTTTATGTATCACTCTTCCATAGTTTGATAGTCTTATCTTTTTCGAGAGCAGCAGAAGCTATAATGTTTTCTGTTGGATGACATGTCGTGCAGAGTACAACATCTGTATGTCCCTGTAATTTTTGCATTACTTCTTTTGTTTGTAAATTCCATATGTACACCATATTATCTTCAGAACCTGATACAATCCACTACAAATATAACAAAACAATTAATAAAACATAAATATAAAATATAATAATAAAAATAATTAAGATTATATATTAAAAAAAAAAAAAAACTAAAAAGAACAGCTTACCTTTCCTCCGGTTACAGAAAAATTGGCAAATATGCAATATTTCTCATTCCTATGACCCGTGTATGTTTTTAAACATTTGCCTTTACTGTAATCCCAAAGTTTCAACGTATTGTCCAATGTCGCAGCTAAGATATATTTTCCATTTGGTGAGAATTTTACAAAGGATACGGGTGGATTATCGTCATCTATAAGTGTTTTTAGGCATTGTCCTGATGCCGTGTCCCAAATTCGACTATATTATGATGTAATAAGTAAAATGTAAAAAGATATATAAAACTTTTTATAAGGGACAAATATTTCTTTGAAAATAAATTAAACGGCAGAAAAATAAAATTAAAAAATGTACAATATGTCAATTGCTAATATAAAATAACTTCAATAATTTGATAAAAATTTATAAAAAACCTTACCAAAGACCGTCGTAACTGCTGGAGACAATTAAAGAACCGTCTCTATTGAAATGCACTGCGCTCACTGGATCTGAATGAGCTGGAAGCGTCTTTAAGCATTTTCCACTCCTTACATCCCAAATGCGGACACTTTCATCAAACTAATAAAAATTATTTTTTTTTTTTAAGATATTTAATATTATATTATAATATATATTTATTTGCATATGAATTCTCTTCTCTTTTTAATTACATTAAATAACTTACTGATCCTGAAACTATAAGGTTGGATTGAGGATTAAAATTACAGCAAAAGACGTAGTTACTATGGCCTTTTAACGTTTTTAAACATTTTCCCTAAAAAAATTTATAAATTATTAACTTTTAATTTAAATGATATAAATGAATAACGTCTAATTTAAATTGATTATTTAATTTGACTAAAGGTAGTGTAATATCTTGTATTATCTGACTATGTTTTATAAAATATATACAGGCGGCTCTCGACTTTCGAGTTTCTACTTTCGCACAATTCACTATTTCGCACATTTTTAAAGATTCAACTGTTTAATCCTCTGCGATCGGATGTCCCCTTTCAAAGGACCTCAGACTAGTCATCAGATGACATTGTTCGGATAAAAAGAATAAAACAGTTTGTCTTGCATTAGGGCGTGCGTCAACATATTGTGTGTTTTGCTAATTTGGATAAATACTTTAAAACACAGTTTTTGGTGCATATTTTTTTATATCCCACTTTCCTTCTTTACTTTCGAACATTCAACATTCGCACACACTTTCAGGAACCAATTATGTGCGAAAGTCGAGGGCATACTGAATTAAAACTTACAGAACTTAACTCCCATATTTTCAATGTCTTGTCATCGGAAGCAGATACCAACAACCTACTATCGCTAGACCAGGCAACATCCGAAATACCAAGCTTATGACCAGTAATGTTTTTTTCAAATTTTCCATCATAAGATCCCCAAATTTTGATAAATTTGTCAGCAGCTATAAATGAACGTCATTACTATTACACATAGCATTTCTTAATAGGTTTACCTTAGAAAATCTAAACTCGAGTAACTCTAGGATGTTTAAATAACTTTTTGAAAATAAGCGTACTTACAAGAGCTTGCTAACCATTCTCCATTAGGGCTAAACTTAACAGATGATACAGCTTTGTTGTGACCTGCTAGTGTATACTTTAATGAATAACCTGGTTTCTGCAAGCAACAAATGTAATAAGTTTATATAAAAACTGAAGTTATTTCTCGAAACTATATATACTTATGATGAACATATACTTGTCGTATGAGTAGAAGAAACTTACCAACGTTGCACTATTTTTTGTTCCAGTAGCAGATGTAGTAGACGAATTATTAATAGATGATTGATGACTCGGTGAAGGTCCGAGTGGTACCATTTTTTTTAATTGTTTATTAAGATGTTATATACTGAAGTAGTGAAGCAATGAGATCCAATATTACGTCGTCTATCAATGTAAAAGATGAAACGAAGATTCGTACTTGCTTCTTACGGAGATACAATTTCTTTGAAAAAAGTCCCTTGCATAATACTAATAATAACGTAAGTTGTGAATTTTTTGAACGAACCTTTTCATTTCTAATAAATAAACACCACGTGTGTTCAAACGACTCAATCGATATTCTATTTTTTCAGCGCAATTATCGAAAATCGTAGTTCGAGTTAGCTCCGTAGAGTTTATAATATTACTAACTTATCCACAAATGAAAAATCATAAAATAAGGCCTAATATTAAAGCACTATAGAGATGAGTACTCTAGAGATCCTGTAGGAGGGATGCGCCATTCATAATCAGCTCATGTGCCATTAGCTGAAAATTTTGGGGGACCGCTTGAATTTATAATAACTTTCTCGTGTAACCTATTCTATTTTAATATAAATTTTTAATTATCATTAAAAATAGTTTATTTTTTTTCTGTATTTGATGCAATTCATTATTTCATAATTATTTCAATGTTTGAATCATTCGCGCGCAAAATCGAGTTCCGGTCCCCCAGCAATGTACATGGCGTTTCCCTCCTATAGGATCCCTATAGTGCTCTAGTTCAACCTGCACTCTAGTGGCTGCGTAGTGCACTAGTTAGATATCGCTACACTTTTGTTTACATTAGTAAGAGTTCTTATTTAGTTATTCTCTTTGGTGATCCTAGTTTATTGTTCAAAAACGTGCTCATATTATTTTGATTAATTAGACTGATTATTTAGATTGTTATCAATTTAATAATAACGACCAATTGATATTTAAAAATATAACAAAACAATGTCTAAACGTCCAGAACATTTAGCACCTCCCGAAGTGGTATGTTTTTATTAGATTATGATTTGAAATGCGTAGAGGTTATGTATCAGTGTATCATATGTCTTTTCTTTTTTTAGTTTTATAATGAAGATGAGGCACGAAAATATACACAAAAGTGAGTTTTATAAAGTTAAATAGAAATTTTTTATTATATTTAATTTTTTACTATTATCTTATTCTTATAATTTGGTGTCTACAGTTCACGTATTATGGACATTCAAGTGCAAATGTGTGAGCGTGCTCTAGAACTATTATTATTGCCAGATAATTTACCAGCATTATTATTAGATATTGGTTGTGGTTCAGGATATAGCGGTAGTGTACTGGAGGATGAAGGACACGTTTGGATTGGAATTGATATTTCTTCCGCTATGCTTAGTAATTATTTCTTTAATTTATCACTTAACTTATTAGTCCAACAGTATAACATAGCTTTCCATATATAAAATGTAGGAGTTGCTCAAGAAAGGGAAACTGATGGCGATTTCATTTTGGGAGACATGGGTCAAGGCATGCCATTTAGAGCAGGAACTTTTGATGGGGCAGTGAGTATTTCTGCTTTACAATGGTTGTGTAATGCGGATAAATCTACTCATAATCCCAGCAAGAGACTATATTGTTTCTTTTCTTCGCTTTATTCTTGTCTTACAAGATCTGCTAGAGCAGTTTTTCAATTTTATCCAGAGAATAACGAACAAATTGAATTAGTAATGTTACAAGCTACGAAAGCTGGATTTTTTGGTGGCATGGTCGTTGATTTCCCTAATAGTACAAAAGCAAAAAAGTTCTTTTTAGTTCTAATGACAGGAGGACCAGCTGCTCTTCCCCAAGCTTTAGGTACAAATGAGGAAAATTCAAATGTTGCCTATACGTCGAAAAGGTAGTTATCTTTTTAAACGTACTTTCTTTATCATATTTCTCATCAAATAAAAAAATAATTATTATTTCTTTTTAAAGAGAATATATTAAAAAAGCTAGAGGTAAACCTTTAAAGAAAAGCAGAGATTGGATCATAGAAAAAAAGGAAAGACGTAAAAAACAAGGTAAACAAGTTCACGCAGATTCTAAATATACCGGTAGAAGAAGAAGTGGTCGTTTGTGGTAATAAGTTTTTTCTAATAATACTATTATTCTGTGATAAGAGAACTATTTTAGTATATATTTGCAATAATAGTAAAATCATCAGATTGTACATATATGTTATAACAATATTTAAGTATAAGCGTGTCTATATGCATTACACATATTCAACAAAATGTCTCATTTAAAAGGATTAATATTTGTAATAAAAAGTTTTCACAATTTTTTTAAAATTCTCTTTTGTTAAATTTTAAATCTTACTGTATACGCTATTTTATAAATCATAAATAAGTATTTAATAGAAAGATTAGCATTTTTTCATTATTAAAATAAAATGTATCATTTCTCTTATTAATTCTTTCATTTGAATAATATTATCCAAATTGATAATTATTATATACTTCGCGAAACATGTCACGACAGTTCATTTTAACATTAAGTTTTGCACATAGTAGAAATATACCTGATAATTTTCTATGCAAGCTATAGATTTCTTCAGGCGGAGGACATAGTCGATGATTTATTATTGTTGGAACCAGTTTTTGAATCCTTAATTATAATGAATCATATACTATGTAATTAATTTCATGTAAATTTAAAGTAGAAATGATAATACCTTCTTGTAACATCTTGTCCGCCAAAATCAAAGTATTCTTGATCGCTTTTAAAAATTTGTCCCAGTATCATTACCGTGTCCACATGAGCATTTTCCATAATCTACAATTACATTGTGAATTTCTGTTAATTTTAATAAATATTTTTCGTTTGCAAATTAAACATGTCTATATATACTTTTATTTTATATAATATTTATTATATGAATATAATTTATATTAGTTGTAAATACCTTAGTTTCATATCCAGTTAAAAAACCCATATCTCTGGATAAATTTAAAACTTTGTCTCTATCTCCCAAACCAGCCGCATTTATAACTTCTATATACTTATCCATGAATGCTTTCTCATAACTTCGACATGCTCCAAAATCCAACAATACGAGCTGAAATGACAAAACATTTTGCTTATAATATCAATTTATGACATTATTAATAATATACGTTTTTGTAGGTATAATACCTGTTTTGATTCAGGATTATAAAAAAAATTGGACCAATTTGGATCTGTTTGCATATATCGAAATACAAATAATTCCATTAAACACAAACGCATTATTAGTTTACATATATGTTCTCGCGTTTCTAGATCCATTTCATCGCATTTATCTACAGGAATACCATCCACTAACTCTGTTGTAAATACCTGATTCGTTGAAAATTCATCTAAAAATGATAACGATTTTTAAGATGACGACTACTCGTACGATTATTTATTAGATTCATTTTTACCTATTACTTTTGGTATATAATAATCATTATAAGAACTCATAAGCTGCTTATATTTTTTTGTACATTCTGCTTCTCTCAGATAATCCACTTCCCAAGCAAGTTCACGTTTTGCTACTTCAACTAAATTGTCAATAAACATACCCTCTGGAAACATATTCCATACCTATGCAAATGAAGAGAAGTTAGAAATTATTCAGACATATCAAATTTGTTTATATTTTTAATATTACCTTCATTATGCCTACTAAGTTTTCGATATCGCTCTGGATACCTGCAGCTACACCAGGATATTGAATTTTGATAGCAACGTCTTCTCCAGTTAATAATGTAGCATGATGTACTTGACCTATAATAGAAAATTTTTAATTTTGTCTCTTCATACACGTAAGTATACGTACCAATAGATGCTGCGGCGAATGGTTTATCTTCAAATTTTGCTAATTTATTGCGCCAATCGTGACCTAATTCAGAACCAAGTACTTTCTACAAATTTATTGATACATTGTTTAAAAAATATATTTTGAGTAATATATATGTAGATAAAAAAGTATATAAATATTATACCTCGATTTGCCATTTTGGCATAAAATCGGCGCTTTGTCTAACTCTTTCAAAAACTTTTTGCAGTTCTGGACTTATAATAGTATTATCTTGGATACTCATTATTTGTCCAATTTTCAAAGCAGCACCTTTAATATATAATGAATAGATATATATAAGTAACAAATAGATAATACCAAAATAGAATCTTTTTAAATATACCTATTATATACTTATCTACCTCTTACTTTGCACAATGTTGTAACAATTCTTTCCGCATTGGCTTTAGTAAGAAACATATTATCAAGACTTTCACCCAATCTTTGTTCCTTTAAACCTAATGATCTACGCGTATATTCTGCCATTGTTCCGATTCCAAGACCAATGCCCAAAGTACCAAAATTAATCATTCTTTGCAGTCTCGTAGAAGGAACAGTTCGTTCTTTTGCATTTGCTGAAAGCTTTAATAATATATATATTGAAGTCGAAAATGTATTACTAATAATACTTACTGATTGTTTAGGTTTTACAGGTGGTTTAATATAAGGTTTCATTGGAGTTTTTGAAATGTGTATATCACTTTGTTTGACTTCTGTTACATCATTGGTATTTTGAAAAGAAAGTACATTTTCTGAGACCTGTTTTCTTTCAGCTTTTTCATGTTCTAGCTCTAATCTGTATAAAATTTCTTTATCTTTTTTAGAAAGTTCAATTTTAGGTACAACATTGTCCATTTTGGTTATTGTCTCTATCTTTTCTTTAACAGTTGCATATTTTTTGTTTGCGATAAAAGTATTTTGTAAATTATCTTTAGATACTGTCTGTTTTACATCACTTTTTATTGACATATTATTTTTATCAATAGCCACTTCTTTGGGATCTTTCGCTGGATTATGAACATGTAATTTTGTTTTCTGTACTACAGGTTCATAATCATCTTCAGCAATGTTTAATGCTTTATTAGTTTTAATTTTGATATACTGTGTCATACCTTTCTCAACGACATTTAAACGATCCAATGTATTTTTTAATTCAACTGCCACTTGTTCCTATGTTTAAAATTGTTTAAATAAAAAACACATAAAATATATATATTAGGGTGGGTCAAAAAAATCAATTATTTTTTTTTTTATAAGTGCCACGGAAAAATGGGTGGCTAGACACCTTAAAAAAATTCTCACTAAATATGAGCTCTTAATTTTAATAGGAAGATCCTCCGCATCGCAGTTTTTTATTTTTTTCTCAGTTCAATAGAATAAAATGCATACCTTATCATTAATTGATTGTACAGAAAAATGTTCCGGAAGAATTTTGTAGGAAATTTAATGCTCTACAAAAAAGGTATCTTATATTTTTTCCGTAAATCTCACCATTTGAATGATATTGAAGATTTAAGTTTGATTATTTTAAGACAAATTTCATTTTTGTTTAAGAATTTTATAACTCGACAATAAATGACTATTATAAAATGCGCAATACAAATTTTTGTAGGAAATGAACTGCTCTATAAAAATGGTGTCTTATGTTTTGGCGATTAAATTAAGCGTTCAAAAGATATTCAGAGACAAAAATCAGTACACATGGAAGTTTGATGATGAATATCATGAACGCTTAATTTAATCGCCAAAACATAAGACACCATTTTTATAGAGCAGTTAATTTCCTAAAAAATTCTTCCGGAACATTTTTCTGTACAATCAATTAATGATGAGGTAAGAATTTTATTCTATTGGACTGAGAAAAAAATAAAAAACTGCGATGCGGAGGATCTTCCTATTAAAATTAAGAGCTCATATTTGGTGAGAATTTTTTTAAGGTGTCTAGCAACCCATTTTTCCGTGGCACTTATAAAAAAAAAAATAATTGATTTTTTTGACCCACCCTAATATATATATATACATATATTTATATACAGGGTGTTTTGTAATAAATCTACTCCCAAAGTGGGTCCCACACATAATAAACTATCCTGTATATACGTTAATCGTTATCACCTACCAAACAGGTATATTTTAATATTTGTCTTTTTAGACAAATTTAACTTTGAAACTTACAGGAACCTTACTTGGATCTATGTTATTTATTTTTTTTCCTACATATTTTAAACAATTTTTAACTGAAGCTCGTAGACTAGAATTTAAAATAAGATATTTGATTGTTTCTTCTTGATATTTTATAATTTCATTAGTTACTTTTTGCGATCCTTTAAGTACACTAATTAAATCAGAAATCCGCGATCGAGACATCCCTAAAATATAATAAATAATATATAAATAATAACAAGTATATTTTATGTAAATTTATACGATAATGTTATTTTTGTTAACAAAATTTGTATTAGTATTATTTGTTATAATAAAAAAAATTACAAATATTACACTTTATTAAATTATAAGAAAATGTTATACGAATTAAATAAAATCGCTAAAATTTTAAATTTACACGTGCTTGTTCTTAATGTAACACTTATATCAAAACAGTGCAAATATTATTTTGTAGAATTTGTAAAAAGAAATAGATAAGTCATTGGATAAATTTATACTGTCGTACAAAGTGTTTATCAAGGTTAAATAATGATTGAGTCATATTCCAATTTAAAATTATCATATGTTTTAGGTTAGTTATGATTAAATATGAAATATTCAATGTCATTCTTAAATTCTTTCATCAAAAATGTATTATTATTATTTTATTACCTAAATATTATATTAAACACTATTTATTATAAAAAATTGTGCTGTTATTATTATATAAACATATAATTTAATTAAATTCAAATACACACGTCTAATAGTAACACTTCAGGTCAGAAATTTAATCGTTTCGTAATTGACAATGAGCATATTACATAAAAAATAACAAAAATAGAACTATCATTTATGATTCGCGTCTACTAAAATCTTTTTATTTGCATTATTTATTGTTTTGTTATTAAATTGAGAATTTCTATTAAAATATAAATTTTTTGTTATAAAAATTTAATAAATCATTTATACGCATGCGTGATATTTATTTCGTACGAAATTCTTTTCATTTTTTATTTTTGTAATTATAAAAATAAAATAAAAGTAAAATGTGTATCTGTTTAAAAAATACTTTGATATATTACTACTGCATTAATATCGATAATAAATCTTTTTTTCTTACTTTAACGTACCGAAATCACTCCTGAAATAATGTCCACATATTTTGAAAGACTTTTAGATAATATTTATATACTATATCAGTGAAAATCATATGTTTGTTACTTTAAAAAATTTATATTCAATAATTATGTGTATTGTAATTTGAAGTAAATATTTATTGCTTACTTCAACAATCATTTCTAAAAATTGAAAAGGCATCCAATTTCATTGTGTCTTTTATCTTATATTTAATATGTTACAAGCTCTACAATAGATTGATATGTATATATATATATATATATATATATATATATACGTATAAATGAGTTTGTATATACATTATATATACATATGTATGTTACGTATATATATACGTATGTAT